TCCAACTCTTAATTTTTAATATTATAATTTTGTTTGTTTTATTTATTTTCTATTATTTGATTAATTACGATGTCTTCCTTAAAAAAACTTTTTGGTAAAAATAAGAGAAAATCCAAGAGTGGCGAATCTAGTGGCCAATCTGTTCCTCCTCCACTTCCTCCGGCTCCCCGACCCAAACCCCGTACCCGTCCTACACCTGCTATTCTTGATAGTGATAATAGTTTATTACAATTTACTGAGAGTCAATTTTTCCATAATGTTGGAGCTGGTGAACAATTAGACCATGAATTAATGAATGCTCTTTATTCTAATCCAACTATTGATGAAAATGATGAGGAGGAAATAGATTTTGATGAAACATAACCGGATGACGATACACCCACTAGTCCTGCTCCTGAAGTTAATCAAGCTAATGATAATCCAAATGATGCCCCGTCTGACCCTCCTGTTACTACTTATAAAGGTTTTTCTCGCACAACCGTAAAAAGCGATATTTATAAATATAAATATAAATATGAATAATATTTGCGCTATTTATTTACTCATATAAATTGTCGTGTTGCCATTACAACTCATATTGGTAGAAGTGGTAATGATTGTGATTACCTTATTGTTACCAGTCATTGGATTAATGAGAATTAGATAATGCAAAAGCGTATTATTGCTTATAGAATAATTAATTCACGTCACACATGGCAGTTTATTGCTAGCACAATTACAGATATTTACAGATATTTTGCATTATTGATAAAATCAAGTCAGTTTTAATGGATTATGCTACTAGTAACATAAATGTTGTATCTTTCCTTACCACTACACTAAGTCTTGTATTTAGTAATATTTTTCATGTTAGATGTATTTGTCATATTTACCATTTAATTGTGGGTGATGGTATGAGAATTTTAAATATTGAAATTGAAAAGGTTAAAATGACTCTTAACTGGCCTTTTTATTCAAACCGTAGAAGTAGACTTAGAGAATATTTTAAAAGATGCGATGAATTTGGTCTAAGAGAAAGAAAGGTTCCTAAACCTTGTCCAACTAGATGGAGTTACATGTATGAAAGTTTTGTTGTTGCATATGAATATAGAAACCCCATAAACTCAACGTTTAATGATCATGTAAGTGATGATGATGAGCACCTTACAAATATGAGTTGGGCTAATGTTAAAATGCTTGTAGTTTTTTTAGAAAAATTTCATATTGCTACAAATAAATTTTCTGGGCAATATTACCCTACTATTTCTAACTGTTTAGTTTATATTGCAGAACTTGCAAATTTATTTGCTCATTTTTCAGAGAGTGGAGAAATTTATCATCTTGCTATTGATTCTATGATAAAAAAGTTTAAAAAATATTTTTTCCATATTCCCCCTATTTATGGTGTTGCTGCCTTGTTAAATCCTACTACAAAATTAGGAGGTCCTCAATTTTGGTATGAAACTGTTTATAATGATTTAGCACTTGAAAAAGAGGAGTTGTCTAAACTTCCGGAAGCAATAGCCTCAATTAAAATAAATACTCAAACTATTTATAATGCTTATCAAGTTGTATTAGATCAGGCTAGACCAAATGTTCCAACTCCTTCTTCTTCTGATTCTCAATCATCTAAAAGAACTGCGGGAGTAAGAGCACTTAGTGTTTGGGCGGGTTTCAGGGGTTCTCAAGGTTCTACTACTAGTGATTTTTCACAACTAAATGAGCTTGAAGTTTATTTGTCACAGGAAATTGAGGAAGTGAATTCCGACGGCTCCTTTAATATTTTGGAATAGTGGAAGGACAAAGAAAAATACTTTCCGATTCTTTCAAGGATGACCCGAGATATTTTAACTATTCAAGTTTCAACGGTGGCATCGGAGAGCGCTTTCACTCAAGAAAGACTTCAACTCGGTGATTGTAGAGCATCTGTGAGGGAGAGCTTGGAAAAATTAGTACTTTTCAGAGATTGAATCCGTTCGGAAAGAAGAAATTTTGGACTTGCTGAATCACAACCAGAGGTAGACGAAGCTTACGAAGAAATGCTAACTGAACTTGCGGAGGATGCTGCTTCGCCCGGAAGCGGCGATGACCAAGCTACTTTTCTGCCACCGCCAACAGAAATTCCTCCGGACCTTGATGGATTTATGAAGTTTATAAGAGATACCATGTAACTTGTATGAACAAAAAATAGTATGTATTATGTAACTTGTATTTTGACAAATCTTGATTAGTTTCTTTTTCTTCTCAATGGTGGTATTAGCACCTTGTTGTGCTCATTCCATAGGGGAGGGAGGAAGACTAAGAAAGATATTGCCATATTTGTTTTAATGCTATAATAAAATTATAATGCATTACTTTGAATATCTCTTTATAATATTTTTGTCTTTAAATTTGAATTAAAAAATTTAGGTCACATATAATTTACAAGGAATTGCCTTAGATATTTTTTATTACCATCTTTTTTTCTCTAACTTCTATAAAATAAAAAAAAATAAAAAATATTTGTTGGGACCACTTAGGACCACTTAGCCGGGGACCGGCCCACTTAGCCCGGGACCATTAGTTCGTGGGCCCGGTCCCGGGCCAGTTCTTACAAAAAGATCACTTAGCCCGTTTAGGCCCGGGACCGGCCCACTTATCAGCCTTATACTATAAGAGTAGCTAATAGAAGTTAGAACGCGATAACATGCGGAATTGCATACGACTTAGGCAAAATTCTCTAGATAATTTTACGTTTTATGAGGTGATGAATCGAGGGAACATGAAAATGCAAGACCACTATTCTACAATAACGCAAAATAAATTAAGCAAAGACAAACAAAGATAAATTATACGAGCAGAAAGATATTAATCAAGTTGGGTCTCCAGAATAGAGTTTATTAAAAAATTAAGTAGAGAAACCTAGATCATACGAGAGGAAAGGCAATATTTTGTGACTTGCCATTTAAGATCACTGGAATACCTTGTAGCTTGTTACTCAAGATATTGAATCTAATTTAATTTTAATAGGAGTAGTAAAATATATTTGAGAGTTTGGACTTCATGTGTTAATTACGTGTTGGCTTGTAGGTGTCTTTATATTTCCAAGGTTTCAGGAAAAGAATTTAATGTTTTATTATCTTTAAACTTAATATATAGACTATATTTATCATATGTAAATTTATTTGGTATGATTCAATATTTTATCGATTTATTTATAAAATTTAAAACTTACCCTAATTATTTGATACGTTTATTGATCTATATAAAAACCTATAATTTTATTAAAAGAAACTTCATAATCGATTTGGTATGGTTCAGTCCGACTGGTTTAGCCGGTTTTTAAATATATGCCGACACTCCTAATCAAAACACTATTCTAATACATTATCCTACATCATGTATGATTATAATATGACACCAACCTCTATATCCAACCAAAACACTATAAAATGGCCTTTTAAAATATATTATATAGATAGTATTGATTTGATTTATAATGTGTATAAGGGGGAAAAAATAGGAGGCAAATCAAATTATTCGAAACAAAATCTTTTAAAAAGAATATGTAGAAGTGGAAGCATGTTACGGGGTAGACGGACTTAGTGAAGAAGGAAGTAGGATTAGATACAACATCAAGATCAACATCGATGAATTAGAGGATGCGGAGTCATAATCACATTATATTGAAACTCAATAAATTGGTCAAATGCTTCCTTTTCATGTTTCAATTAATATATTCGTGGCTTGTCCCTTGTAGACCAACTCATCCATTCATCTAGATGAGTATGACTAGTCCCATATTTTATGTTTTCCAAATTAACATTACCATATGTAAGAAGCGAAAGTATAGTATATTTAGATATTAAAAACAATAATGAAATGCAACATTGGGCTGCATTTACAAAAAGATAAAGAAAGAAAAGAAGACAATGCATTGTATATTTTGAACTCATATGATGGATCGGACGTCAACTATATGTGCTACATATAGTATAAAATATGACAATTAGGTTAGTGTTAGTAATTATTTTGCAAGATAAAAAGTGACAACTCAAATTTAATTAATAGGATNGAAGCGGTTAAAACATGGGTAAAGTAACATCAACACATATCGAAATATGCCAAACATCAAATATTGGGATAAGGTGTAGTAATTTGGGGCTTTTAAATTTTTGCTAATGCAAGTTTCACTTTTTCTTAAACTTTTTAAATAATACTGATGCTCAATTTTAAATAGTTTCGTTTAATTAGAAACGAAGATGTGGGCATGGTAAGATATTACCAATCCAATATATTGTTATTATTTAATCAAATTTAATATTTCAATTGGGGATTAAATATTCAAAAACATACTTAGTATTTATTTCACAGAAAATAAAACTTTCACTTTTATTTACTAGTATCACAAAAGATATTAATTCTCAACATGGAAATTACTCATAGCAAAACCTAAAGGTAGTAGATGGAGAATTATTCTTAGCAAAGTATTAAATAGAAAAAAAATTATTTTTTTTTAAAAAAACATCTATTTATGGCAGTTTCCTGTGGCATTACTTTCTAATTTTAAAATATAATAACATTTTTAATTTATTATGTTTGAGAAGTCAACAACAACAATAACAACAACCCAATATAATGCCACTAGTGGGGTTTGAGGAATGTAATGTGTACGCAGACCTTACACTATCCTGGGTAGAGAGGCTGTTTCCGATAGACCATCGACTCCCTCCCTCCAAGAAGTTCCCACCTTGCTCTTGGGGTAACTCGAACTCACGCTGTTTCCGATAGACCATCGGCTTCCTCCCTCCAAGAAGTTAACACCTTGGTCTTGGATAACTCGAACTCACAATATGTTACTTGAAAGTGAAGGGTGCTCACTCCTGCATCAACCCACTATTATCAAATGTTTGAGAAGTCAATACAATCAATATTCTTCCTTTTCCGTAATAATATACAATTAATAGCCTTAACTATAAAAGATTGTTTTAGCCGTAAAAATTTTCAAAACTTAATAATTCAAGGTTTATTTACATAGTAAAATTCGTCAGTGGGGGCGAAATAGCTGTTCTTGTTGATCATGACCAAATACGTGGCAGAAGAGTGAAGTTATTGAATGTTCATATGAAGAGAGTGCATGATTATTTTGTGTTCAATAAAACTTTTGAGATTCATTACATTGGATTATCATCCACAATCAATCCCTATAAAAATCTTTCTTGCGCTTTAAAGAAAGTGACTCCTCAACCTCTCTTGCCCCTTTCTCTCCAATTACAAATTATCTCTCTGTTTTTTTCTTCTTCTTCTTCTTCTTCTTCTTGAATTAAATTTTTGCTCAACATATTTTCATTTTCACCTATATTTCTAGCAGAACCAGCAGTTTGGTGAGCTTCCCAGTTCCCAGGTTTGTTTACTCTTCTTTTTCTGGATTCATAGTTTTTCTTTTCAAGTTTTGGTGCTTTTTTTCTTGGGATATTATAGTATGTAGTTGTCTGATAAAGGCATTTGATAAGGAATTAAATTGGTTCAAAGTTTCAGTTTTTTCTTTTCTTCTGTGGAATGTTTCTTGGATTTTCTTTGATATTGAACACTAAATGCTGCACCTAAACTTCCTTTGGCATACAAAAATTTGAGCAGATTTTCTACTTGATTTCCTGCAGCCAGGCAGCTGTTAATTTTTCTAATTTAATTTTTATTGAAGGATTCAGACAATAAATTAGTTTCTTTCCCCTTGCGGATAGGAGTATATGTAGCTTAAGTTGATCCTATACAATGTTGGATTATATCATGATCACTTCATAGTCACTACTAGTTTTGGCTTAATTATAGTTAGTTCGGAGACCATTTTCTAGTTTTAGCTTAGAATAAAAAAATATATGCGACAACCTGCCAATTATGTTTTGCACAAAATATTCAAGAAGAGCTTGTGATAGTACTAATAATATAAAAGGGAAAAAAAGAGAAGAAAAATTAAAAAATGGAGTAACTTGGGTGTCTCTTGGTGGAAATTGGAAGATCTTGCAAAAATGAATCAAAATCCCTCCTTTGACATACCACAGTTTTACTTATATATATAGAAAAAGATTAATAATAAGTGTCAGCTTTTTAGCGTCTTAGCATACGATATCTTGACATCCGGCTATAAAAATTCCTTCCTAGTTGTACTTCATAATTAGATCTCCCTTCATTTGGTTGTGTCAAATGAAATCGACACATATTGCCACTTGCTGTAGCTGATGAATGTTCTTGAAAACTAAGATCTCCTTGACTAAGATTTGGGAATCTAATGTGTTGGGCTAAAACAGCCCAAAAATACTCTTAACATGGTTGGTGTGATATTGTCTTTAGGCCAAGCTCGCACGGTTTTTCCCAAAAGGACTCACATCATTAAGAGATCCCTACACCTTATATGTAGACTCCCAATCTTTTCAGCTACCAATGTAGGACTTTGTTTGCACGCCCAACATAATGACTTTTGAACCAGTCATAAGCTTGGAAATTATGTCAGCTTATGATCAAAGTTATAGCCAGTTGTCAGGCAAGTTTTCAGTTCTTAGGAGGTTCCAAGTATTGCTAGCTGTCCAAGAGAGCTCAAAACATAATACAACTAAACAATCAGTGTTCCCCTGAGTATAGTGTGAAAGATGAAAACATTGTACTATACTAGACTTGAGTTGTAGCATGAAATTCCTCCCGTACTTATAACATCTAGGGGATATGCACGGAATTGGATTTCCGTAGCGAGAAGTGCAGCATCATTTATATCAGTTAACATAGGAATGCACTAGTGAGCATAGGAAAGATTCCTCTGCTCTGAAGGGCTACACAGTTCACTAATATAGTGCTTTTGAAAATTAACAATGCTTGACCATAAAAGTCTTTTGCATTTGTGGCTTAGAAAAGACGCTAGGATGGTTATGATTTTGTTACTGCAAAGGCATAAAGATTATTGCAGTGGATGGTAGAAAGCATAGAAGTCTGAGCTAGGATAGAATTTGCAGCCACACTTTCCTTTTAAAAAGGTAAAAAGAAAGTGCAAATACCGGAATTTCAATGGATCTTGTGTGTAACTTAGGGTGTATCAGTTGTTTGGCAAAAACATAGTTGTCAATCTTGTTTTGTACTGTATGATAAGGTATTATAAGATGAAGGACTGAAAGAAAAAAGAAATTGAAATGACCTTTTTGCGAATAAACAACCATTACTTATTCATAGCTCACCTAAAATACGGAAGATATACCGTTTTGGAAAAGATTAAAATGAGGTCAAGGTCAAGATATAACAGTATAAAAGTGGAAATTATGATAAACGAGCAAAAAAAGCATTGAACTTAATATATTGGCCTTCTTATTATCAATGTCATCATTGTCACATGATGAGCCACCACGATGTTACTCAAGAAAATCCACAATCAACCAAATAATATATATAATAGGATAATGTTAGAATTGTAAGATACATATGACATTCACACAATTAATAGGTATTGCCGTAAGATTCATAACGATGGGTGCTTGTATTGGACTATGGTGTGGGATAACTATTGTGTATCATAAGATTCCGACAACTATGATTTTGCATTTTTAAGAATCTAAAGTCATTGGAAAAGCATAGAGGAGGGTCACATGTTATTCTATTGTTTAGTATCAAGAGATATCTTTTCAAGAATATGAACATTAATTGGCGCAAGAAGAAAGAGGTAAGAAATCTAAAATTTTGTGAAACCAGACGTTGAGTTATTCTATAAAAGTTTGTAAAATTTCCGGTTTTCAAAGGTTGGACCTAAAGTTAAACTTGTGAAACTACATTATCCTAGATTCTAACGAAGTGCCGTGGCTTCCAATATCACAAAATCACATGCATGTTGAATAGTGCTGTATTGTATCTAAAGGATGACTTAAAATTTAAACCTGGGAGCCTTATTTGAACATACATCCTAGATTAATCCTTCTTAAATTGCTCTATTTTGAGCTTCTGGTAAATTGCATCATCTAATTGTAATTGATAAGTGAGAAACATATATCATTTTTAATATGTATTAGAAGCATGAGCTGGAACTGTTAACTTCTAGTTGATTGCTTCATGTGGGAGGTCTTTGTGACTTTAGACGTATGAGCTGGGATTTGCAACTTGAGGCATTGAGACGCTCACTACTATTGCCTGGTCATTCTATAAGATCACCTGCCTTTTTTAAATCTGCTTAATCTTCTTTTTCTGGCTTCCTTTCAGATGACCTGACATATTATGGCTACATCAGTTGCATCTGCTGAAAGCATGGGATCCTTAAATAGTGATCTATTCTACGACATACTTAGGCGTCTTGATGGTGCAACTTTGGCTAGTGCTGCCTGTGCCTGTGAAGCATTCTGCTCGATTTCCAAGGAAGAGAAGCTATGGGAAAACGTATGCTCTTCTATGTGGCCTTCAACCAACAGGGATGACGTCAAAAGTTTAATATCTTCTATTGGTGGGTTTAAAAAATTCTATGCTGATTGCTTCCCCCTTATTGTGAACAAAGAAGTGCCTGAATTTCTATGGAATGAATATCTCGAGTATCCTGAAGAATTGACTGAAGCTGAATACTATGGTGACATGGACGAATTCGAAATTGTTGCTCCATCAGATTTTGTCTCTATTGTCGATATACGATATAAAGATAAAACAATATGCTCAAAAGTCCTTTGGGGCATTCCTAATGCAAACGGTTTTCCACGTTGGTTTTACAGCTGTCCATTTCGAATCGATCTTTTCACGTACTCGACTAGAGATGACGAACACGCGGGGGAAGTCACTCTATCAGTTTCAGACGGATTGCCTCCAATTACATGTATGGAGAAAGAGAGGAAAGATGGTAAGCTCTGGCAAGAGCTCCGGGACGGAATACGGCTAAGTTGGATTGTTGTTAATACAAAAATAAAACAAGCTGCTAATCTCTCAAGCTGGAGTTCCCTTGGAGGGCAAAGACATTGGCCAACAGATAAGGATTTTGTGCTTCGTTTCGGTTCAGTTCTTCCTGCTAAGGACATTCTTTCTTGTCAAGCTGTGGAGTGTATCCTCCTCCTGAAATTCAGAGTGATCTATACAGAAGAGGGAGGTGTCGCGACTACTCTCAAACTGACAGAAGTAAGCATGCAACTGGGAGATATGGAGGGTGCTCATGTAGATGGTAGAAACAGTTTGCTTGTTCTCAAGGAAGCATTAAGCTGCAATCGGAGCAAGAACTATAACGAGGCGCTCGAATCATGTCAACTGTACTCAAAGGTGCAAAGTGAGCTAAGGGAGGAAAAAATGAGAAATGAAAGCAGGTTAGATAGACTTTATATATTAGGAGGCATTATGACCTGCATCACAGTTTGTTTCTATTTGTGGTGACGTGAGTGTTTATGTTTTTCTTTCTCAATGTTGTTATGTGTAATTTTTTGGTCATATTGACTGTTCTCTCCTCTTTGATGTTGATGTAAATGCAATTTTGACCAGAAAATTGACATGTTATTCTTAGATATGTGTCGTGCTAATCTTCTGTGTATTGTTCCAATTTAGTTTATTGGATGTTGCCGAAGGGACTAATTGTCACAGTTTCTGTTGGCATGAAACTAGCAGGCGAGTTGAGGAATCTTTTAGGTGATGATCTTTGTTTAATAAACTTGTAGCCTCGTGCATTGAAGACTGCCTTGGCTATATCTTTGGCGCATATTTTGATCAGTAGATTCTTTTTAAGCGAGAGCTTCATTATGTAACAATCTACTGGAATACAGTTCTGCTAACTTATGTTAGAATCAGAGGGCAAAAGCCATATCGTTTTGTAAGTTCCTGAAAAAAAGAAAACTCGGTGCACAATGCATCCTGCATTCACGCAGGGTACGGACCCGAAGGGGTGTGATGTAGACAGCCTATCCTAAGGGTTTGGAATTTATGATCACACTAGTTGTAGCATTTGTGTTTGTTTTATTCAAGTTCAACACTCGGCCCTGTGGTGGTAATCTTTTCAGTTTTTCTAAAAATTCAAGACTATTCCTATTTCCTTTCACACTGCAGGCAAATTCAACTATTTTCCCAGTTTGAATCAAAGGTGGATGTATAGCCCAAATCATGGGGCACATGAACTCATTGTCTTTCCGTTAAACTAGGTATTTTATGCACATATTTTCTAGAATTTGGCTAATATTATGTGTTGGCACCCATGCTCCAAAAAGACTAAATGGTGCACTTGGTTGAATATTGGGTTATTCACCTAGAGAAACATGTATCGCTTCTTACTTAATACTGTTTTTTCTACTTTTTTTAGTGGTGCATCCACGTTCAAGAATCTCGTTTAACTCATAAACGCGTTGCAATTCCATTTTCAAATGAAACCACTCGACAGATCAAAAATCTAGGATAATTTGTTATATGGCATTCCAATGAGAGACAAAGTGCTACCCTTCTACGCACTCCAATTTCTAATTTAGTGAGAGCAGTCTTGACATCCTTGACAACTGAGAGTCAATGTGGTGGTCTTGTTAATGGCGAAAACCAATATGAATATAGAAGTGGATCCAAAATTTAGAACAAAGAGGTGCACCTCTAAACATATGCAATTATGGGTAAAAGAAAACTAGGAGCATAACACAGAAAAAAGAGTGGTAGTAAAACGAGGAATACGTGGTCCAGCGAGTGCGATGCGTGGATTAGGCACAACTTACGAAATCGACCCTAAATCCTAATCGCGGACTAGTGGCGGATTTAAGAGGAGGATCTATGTGGAGAGCATGGATTTACATGTACACATGCTTTTTTTCATAAACATGTAAAGCAATGATGTATTTCTTCATAAATACTTAAAGTTAAATGTGTAGTTTATATTTGTACATCCAATCTCAAAGAGACAGTACAATCTTATTGAATGCATCTTTATAAGTCCATGTTTGGATGGTTGTTACATGTTGTATTATATAGTACTAGAAGTCGTACCCGTGCGATGCACGTTCATTATTAAAAAATATTAATTAAATTAAATTGTCACCGTGCTTGTTTGAACATATTAGATCGTATTGATTAAATAAATTTTAATTGTCATCTTATTTGTCAATATGATATACCAATAATAAAATTTCTATTAAATTAAAGGACTTATATAATCGTTGAATAACTTTATGTTCTATATTTGTTTTATTATATTATCCAATGTTCAGTATTTTTACATTGTTAATAGAATTTTTTATTAGCATATTATTTTATTTAATATTTTTGTCTGCTCGCTTTCTTTTAATCTATTAAATTAAACAGACATATATAGTCATCGAATAACTTTTTTGTTCAGTATTTTTCTTTATTATATTATCCAATATTTAGTATAATTACATTGTTAATAGAAATTATTAGCATATTACTTGTTTAATATTTTTGTGTGCTACTTTCTTTTTGTAATATAATAGAAGATTCATATTTTATTACTCCTGAAAGATTTTTTTTATTTTAAATTTTATTATGTTATTCTCAATAACTAGTGTTAGAACCCGCGCGATGCACAGATAATTTAACAGAATATTAATGTTATAAAGTTATGATTTAATATATTAAATTATTTTAATAAATACTAGTTATTATTTTATTATTTCATGCAGTGTACAGAAATATAAAAAAATCTATACAAAAGAAAAGAATACACATTAAATAGTAATCGAATAAATTATTTATTCCTTATTACTCTTTATTATTATTAAATTAGCAAGTACTTAGTACTATACATTTACTAATATGACTTTTATTAAATTGTCAATTATTTTTATATTTTGAAATTACTTCCCTTTTTTTTTTATAATATAGTATATATTTATTACTCTGAAAATAGTTTTTTTTAAAACTTATGTTATACTGTTCAAAATTCTTCAATTGTCTAAATTTATCAATAATTTTATTGAGTGTTATTTATTTATTTATTATTTATTATTAATTATCTATTACTTAAGTCTATAAATATCATAAAATTCTCTTTATCCCCACCTTTTCGTACATTCTTTTCTACTGTAATATTTGATTAGTTTTTTTATTTTGAAATTTACTGAAAATTTAAATAATGTAATATTTTTTACTAAATTATAATTTTAAA